TTATAAGCACACGAAAGGAGTGAGATTCCCCGATAGTTAGCGCATTCTGTTTGATCTCCTTTCTTATGTATGTGGCAGATAATGGCTGTTGTCCATTCCATAGGCATAGCTTACCTCTCCCAGATGGTCAGCATTAAATCATGCAGAGCTTTCTTGAGTTCTTTACCTCTACATTTCAACAGCTCTGACTGGATTCCGTCCGGGCCTGACTCTTTTCCATTTTTCAAGTATTATATATATAGTAGATACAAACAAAATTGGAAAATAAGTATGAATAAAAATAGAAATCAAAGGAGAATATAGCATGTATGTTAAATGTAAACATCTTCTTCTTAATCAATTCCTCTTCTTCCGGTAGATCAGTGTAGAGGATCCTGTTTATAGAGCTTGATCCATTTTTCTCGTTCACGCACCACTGACTGCGTCTATTTCAATTCATTCCTCTCCTATCGAAATCCTCCCTGACTGAACCTTCCCAGGTCTTTCTGGGCCTTCCTCTCGGCATTCTTCCTTCCACTTTTACTTTGTATATAGTTTTGGCCATTCTTCCCTCCTGCATTCTTTTGACATGGCCAAACCAGCGTAGCCTGTTTTCCTCACTTGTGTTTTCTGCTGGTTTTATTCCCAAATTGCCTCTTATCGTTGTATTCCTAATTTTGACCCTCCTAGTTTTCCCTTCTATTCTCCTCAGAAATCGCATTTCCAATGCTTGGATATTGCTTTTATGTTTTGAGGTTATAGTCCAGGATTCACTGCCGTAAGTCAGTATGGGGACGAATGTATTTCTATACACTGTCTTCTTGACATTTTTTGACACTTCTCTCTTTGCTAAGAAGCCATTTTTTAGTTAATGGAAGCATTTTCTGGCCAGTTTTATTCTTTCCCTGATTTCGCCATCTATCCAACCGTTCTCATTTAGATGGGCTCCCAGATACTTAAAATCTTTGACCTGCTCCAGTTCCTCTCCCTTTAATCGAAGTACTCGATCTCCCCTCTCTTCTCCTCTTACTATCCTCATAATTTTTGTCTTCTGGCTGTTTATTTCCAGGTTGAACTGTTCTAATTCCAAACAGGACTTAGAACAGTTCAAAGTTTGGAAAAAAAAAAATGAAACGTGTTTCCAGTTTTCCTTTATTTATTTCTTATGAGGGCGTTAAATACAAAAGTTTTATATAGGCTTAAAGAACAACAACTAAGCTTTCCAACGGTCATACAAACATTGAATTAGGAGAAAATCAAGAGAAGTTATGAGCTATTTAGTGAAAAGCAGGTAGAACGATTCTAATAGAGAGTGGTTTGGTATCCATGTTAACCAGATCACCTCATCTACCAATATCATCATTATATAAATAGGCAAACACAAATCGGTTCAGCCCCATTTACTCCTCTATTATTCAACCGATTTTCTTCATTCTTTTTTTATTTAATAGATATTGACGAGCTTTAGTGTTATCAATAAATAAAAATATTAAATAGTAAGTGAATAAAAATATAAATGGTAGTTTGTTCAAAACTGCTTATCTCCGAAAATTCTTCGCCTTGAAACCTTCATAATTTATGTATATAACATACTTTACCGAAAACAAGCTGCATAAATATTTATGAGAAATTCAGTATTTTATTAGAAAATAACTCAAAAGTACACATTTTTTTTATCGATAATACCAGTATTTATTCGGTAGCTTTCTTGATTTCCAACAAAATGAAAAAAAAAAAGACCATCGAAATCTAAAAGAATCAACTCCGAAATTAAACAATTCGTAACGGCCAAAGGAGCATAGTGGGTTCAAATATTTCTTTAATGAGGAACGGAGTTGAGATTCTTCTTTCGCATCTTGACAAACCCTCAAATACGAATTTTCATTGCAATCCAAAAATAAAAATTTTTACCTCAAGTTTTCGTCAAGGCAGGAGCCTTCAATTTTTTTTTAAAAATCACAAATCTTGTCATAACTTCCATATAGCTCAAGATATTTAAATGAAAAAAAAATCACTATAATATAGACGAAATGGCACAAACCTGAGGTCCGTAAATAAATTAGGCTTGGAGAAAAAAAAAAAAATGAAATGTGTTTCCAGTTTTCCTTTATTTATTTCTTATGAAGGATTTAAATATAAAAGTTTTTTATATAGGCTTAAAGAGCAACAACTAAGCTTTTTAACGGTCATACAAATATTGAATTAGGAGAAAATCAATAGAAGTTATGAGCTATTTAGTGAAAAGCACTGTAGAACGATTCTAATAGAGAGTGGTTTGGTCCTTCGTGGTGTGGTCCTTCCTGCAGGATTCGGAGGTTGTATTGGAGGTTTCTTCCGTTGTTCCCGAATACCTTCGGCTATCTTCGGCATATGCCAGAAGGATGAGGTGAACTGCTCATAGCTCTCTGTGGCCCAATCTAAAAGGCCTCATTCTTTCCTTAGCACTATTATAAACAATAAAGGGCTTAGACTACAGCCCTGCCTTATTCCTTGGGTGCTCTTAACCCCCCTAGAGGTTTGGTTATTAGTTCTGACCAGGCTTATTTTCTTTTTATATAGGCTAAGAATAGCCCTCGTTAGGCCTGGATCGACTTCATTCAGTGCTCTGTCAACGTCCGTTTTCCTGACCTTACCTGCACCACGAAGCAGGTATATACCTCTTTATTCTTTTCCAACTTTATTAAGAGAATTACGAATATTAGGTCTTGGGTACTTCTTTGTGTTAACATATTGTGATAAAAGATAAGTAATGAGTGTATAAAGCAGACCCTACACGGTAATTCATGAATGAACGTCACAAGAAGTTCCAAGATTGCCCGCTATCGCTTTGATAGTACCCTTACACGTTCAATCATTACTGATCATCACTTATCGTTGCTGATACCCATTTAGCTCAGTTGTAAACAAAGAAACAGCATAGATATGCTTATTTGGACATTGTCATTTATAATATTGGGCATCAAGAGAAAAACGGAGATATAATAATTACTTCCTAGTGCCTGAAAATCGTTTAGACCAAAGTTAAAAAAAAAAATATAAGTCAACTACATACAAAAATCTATGAAAAGTATTGCGAAAATAATCAATTTGTTAAGAAAAATGGAAAAATTAATGGCAAATAAACACAACAGTTAAAGATTTTTTTTTTCTATAAGTAAATTGTGAAGTTTCCACTTTTTTTTCTCTTCAATTTATTGCCTACTTGACTATTTAAAGAAAAAATAGTTGAAAATGGTTAGTAATAATATAGACTAGGGATATAAACAACTATTTACTTTTATGAAATTATTTACTTAATAACGAGACCTAGGTAAACTAACCTATCTAGTAGTAAAGTTAGTCTCATAGAAAATCGTTTTGACAAATGTTAGTAAAATATAAGTCTACTACTTACAAAAATTAAGGAAAGGTATTACGAAAATAATAAATTTGTTGAGGAAAATGGGAAAAGAACTCATAAATATACACGACGTTAAAGTTTTTATTTTTCTTAAAGTAAATTGTGAAGTTTCCTCATTTTTTTTTTAATTTGTTGCACACTTGACTATTTAAAAGAAATAGTTGAAGATGGTTTAAAATTATAAACAAGGGATATGAAAAATTATTTAACTATTTACATATAATGAAAATCAGAAATTTATAATGGTTGTGAGGCCTAGGTAACCTAACCTATCCAGCAGTATGGTTAGTCCCCCCACTACTTTTACCTCAGGCCCCCCTCCACTTATCGTGAATGAACCTTTGATTTCCGGATGTTCGGAAATCCGCAGCGCACCACCATCAGTACTTCATTCACTAACTTACACGACAGTTCGGAACGTCATTAGTGCAATTCCGATTGACCGTGTAGGGTCGACTTAACAAACTAATAAAGATTACATGTGATAACTGTAGGTTAACAGATAAAGAAAATGAATGTTAACGAATAAAAAGATTGAAAATTGAATAAGTATTGATATAGTAAAGCTAAAATAATAATAAGATATCAGTGGATAACAAGCTAGTGGAAGTTACATTTGATAACTGTAGGTAAACAGATAACGGGACTAAAGGTTAAGAAGTAAAGAAATTGAAAGATTAATAGGATAACATTAGTGTAATATCGTTAGGATAGATTATTAAGTATAAATAACTCTATAAGAAAAAAAAATTAAGAAGAGAAATTTAGAATATAAGTATAAATGTAAAACAAGGTTATGATAATAAAAACAAGTTGTACTATATACTTATCTTCCATTTTTGTTTCTATCTTCTATGTATATAATACTTGATATTTTAACTAAATTGTCACTCACTGTATCTCTGATATCACCTTTTTATTTCTAAATCAGACAACTTCTTCTTATTTGATATATACTTATATTCATTTATTTTATTTCCACCATGTTATGTATCTTTTGTAGCCTTGATGAAGACCTGCAAAGTGGGTCGAAACGTGGGCAAAAATTAAGTAATACTATTTGTATAATTTAGTACTTCATATTTGCCGCAAGAAATTTAATAAATCTTCAAGTAAAAATGGAGGAGTTCACATGAATTAAACAAAAAATTCTAGAATATGCTGCCACGTGATGATTATGAACTACAATATCAATATTATCAACATAGATCTAGCTAAAAATATTCGTATTTCTAACTATTAAATAAATAAAAATAACTATTTCTAGGCATTAGCCTCTAGTGTACTTTTCCTCCTTCTTTAATAGAGTTTGTATATTTTATTCATTCATGAAGATTAATTGTTATTGGTGTTGATTTTATTTTTATTCTTCAAAATATTGGGGGGGCCAACGATATTCTCGCTTACTATCTATTTTTATTGGTGGGAGGGAGAAGGTGATACCTCCTGTAGGAAAACTATGGTTGAATGAATTCATTCCTGAATAGTGCATAATGTGCTCTTTTAGTTGTACAAGGTTTTTCCATAAAAATAACGCCTTCCAAGTTCTCAGATAATTTGTAACGATAACATATTGATATCGTTATATTAAATATCGTTGATATGGTGGTGGTAATGATAATTAAAAGCTTTAAGACAAAAAATATATGTTTATTGATAAACAAAATACTTTTTTTAAATCTATGATGTAGACAGTGATGGAAATAATGTTTATATATATATATATATATATATATATATATATATATATATATATATATATATATATATATATATATATATATATTCATAAAATACTTCTAATAAGAACAATCCTCAAGTAACTACTGAGATTTTTTTAAGAATCATCTCGTTTGCACATAGCGACTTCCACTCCAAGAGGCTATACTATCCTATGGTCAAACGTTTTAAATATGTACCCCCTAAAAGTCTATTATAAGGATTATAAGGATCCATCATAACTGGATTCACAACTGGTGGTTGCAGACCCATACTCACACTTCTATCATAACCCACATTCAAAGGTTGAGGTGCTGGTGGATTACCTAAACCTATACCAAAAGATAAACCGAGTGTTCTAGGTTTGCCACTAGGTAGCGTTATTGGTTCGTCTAGTTCTTTCCCTAAAAACAAAATTAATTAAAATTCTATTGTATAATAAATAAATATTTAAGGATTATATAAATGTTATGAATAAAGTGTTATCTTTAGGTGTTGATTATCGGTGAAAACAGAGATATATAGTCGGCAAAAATAATGGCTGCGATAGATCGACGGCAGAAAAGAAGATCTTATCCGTATGATAGCAAGAAGATTGAGGAAGGCATGGTCCATAACCATACAGATACGTGTATAACATAATAACATAATTTTGATTTAAAAGAAGTGAATATTTTGCTTCTTTAGGTAAATAAATTTCTGTATTTCCCTGGTATTTCATCTCTTTTGTTTCTATTGGGTTGTCGGGAAAAATAATGCAGGAATTTGATTTAAAAAGAAAAGAAGAAAGATTTACAACTGTTATTTATTTAATAAAAATAGTCTCCACTTCTATCAATACATTTCTACTAACGTATTGACAACTTTTCCATTCCTTGAGAATAGAATTTCTCATCTATAGAATTGATTAACTTCACAAACGAATTTTCTAATTCCCTTGGTCCATTACATTTTTTGTCACGTAAGCAGTGGTCCAGGTGTCTAAAAAAAATGATAATCCGTCGGCGACAGATCCGGAGAATATGACGTGTGTGGCAGAGTTTCATACCCAAGATCGAACAGTTTTTTTGACGTCACACGTGGCGTTGCAATAAAAAAATATGAGCCCCTTCCAATTAATCAAAGACGGCTTCATTATTACCAATTTATGGTGCATTGTATTAATTTGGCTACAATACGATTGTTAAAGGTTTCTCTAGGATTTAAGAAGCTGTAGTCTATAAAACCAAATGAAGCCCACCAAACAGTAACCATCATCTTTTCTTGATGAGTTGGGTTATCATCAGCCAATGTTGCCAGGAGGATATCGGGATGGAGAGGTAAATATGCGATAAAAAGAATGGAATGGATAGAACTCAAGACTCTGCCCTGCGGAACTCCCGATTCAATTGAATAACAGCCGGAGAATTCAGAACCACAGCGAACATGGAAGCTGTGGTCTGAATGGTAGGATCGGAGTATTATATATAAGAACTAATGTAGATGGAGTGTAAGCTTGAAGAGCAATCCGGTGTGCCATACCTGGTCTAAAAGCCTGCGCATGTCCAGAAATGCACCCGAACAATATTGCTTCTTATCTGAGTCTGTGGTCAATAACTTGGAGTCGTTGTTGGAATGTTGGGAACGAAATCAGAATCGATGGGTAAGATTTTTTCGGGATACTATTTTTGTGGGATACTACTTCTAATTTTGCAGTGTGGATGGGATGGGATTCCAGATGAGGAATGAATGTACTGGAGAGGTGTCTGGCAAATTCTTCAGCTTTGTCTTTAATAAACACTGTCCAGGAATCATCGCATCTACGGAAATATGAATGGATTTTACTAGTTTTTTTGGCGGTAATCCAGAGGGAATTGTCATGGACAGAGAGGGAAGTAAGGTAGGAACTAAAGGATTGGGACCTGGAGGATGATAATTGTTGCTTTTAATAGTTTACAGTAATAATGGTAGAAGCGGCGATTAGTGGAGATTAGGTATATGACCTGTTGGGGCTCTTAGGGATTCTTGAGAAATAATTTAGAGAGGAAGCTGTCCATACTGCTTGTTGAAGGGTGTTGATGTACTGCAATGTCAAGGTCTTTCGGGTGTTTCAAGATTAGTCTGAGACAAGGAATTTGAGGAAAGAGTTTCCATTTAACTGGGTCCCTGGGGATAAAGGATGGTGGAGAAGGTTTAGGAATAGGAGTTAGAGATAATTTCAGTATTAATGGACTATGATATGAGGAAAGTTCATCAAGTCAGGTGAGGAAATGATTGAGGGAACCTAAACAACTGTGGATAATAAAATCGAGGATATCAGGATTGCGGTTAGGATCAGTTGGCCAATAGGTAGATGAGTAGGAAATAAGGAGGATGCAACTAGGGGGATTGAGTGCAGACATCAATATTCTATCACGAGAAGTTGTGGTTCTTGAACTCCATTCGTGATGCTTAAATTTCGGGACTAGGCACGATGATCCCAGGTTGTTTACGAAATCTGGATTCTTCAACCGTCAATGAAAGATAAATTTATGTTTAAAGTTACTGCTTACATTTTATCAAAATTCTAAACCAAATACACTCATATTTTAAATACCTACACATGGCTTCCTATCAGCCGTGAGATCAGACGGCATCCATGACCGTAATGAGAGAAAAAAAATTGATAATTTAGCTTTCATAAGAGAAACATTTACTGACTTAGAAAAGTGCTATCAAATGGATGCATACTGCACTATTGACGAAATATTAGGGCGCTAGAAATTCCGTAAATAATGGAGTAAAGATGTATGTTTTCTTGGAAATAATGGAGTATGTTTTCGTGTATGTTGTATGTTTTCGTGTATGTGTATGTTTTCGTGGAAATAATGGAGTAAAGATGTATGTTTTCTTGGATCAGAAATACGGAGTGAAAATGTATGTTCTTGTGGATTTAAAAATATTTTATATGTAAAATTAAAAAAAAATATGCGGATAAACGACCCCAAACCCAGCAATACAAACTTTTGCTATTTTTGCCGCAGAGAGAAAAAAAAAACAAATCCAAAAAGACATGTGCAAAATATTCTGATTGAGTTTCCGTAATTAGGGCTGCGTCGACATTATGGCATTTATAAATACAGGTCAGATGTAGTTAAGTGTTCTGACTAAACAGGTATTCATTTGTAGTACATCAAATTTGCATGTAATTGAATAAATCTTCTTCTAAATACGTTTTTGAAACTTTTTTTAATTATTTCGTTGTTGTTATCTAAATTTTTGTTTTTGAACATAATTTTGTTTTGATACCAAGAGACAACTAATTCTTACTGTTCACCCGGTCTATCTACCAAAATTGACAATGTTCCACCTATTTTCATTATTGTTGTTGAAAATTATCCCCACCTTATCGTATTTCTAGAAAACGGAATTGCTCAAAAAACATTTAAAATTAAATCGACCCTTAGAGGTGTTACAGTTTATTCTGAAACACCTTCTACCTTTAGAAAACTTATTTCTTCAGTTAAAAAAGCAGTTGCCGACTTTCACTGATACCAGCTCCCAGGGAGTGGTTATTGAGGGATTTCATCATATTGTGCCCATTGAAGTAATAGGAAAGGAATTAAAAGAGTTGGAGTACGATGCAACTGGCGCCATTAACGTAATTTGCCGCTTTGAAACATCCCTTCAGATGTTTTTTTTATTAGGATATCAAATTCATCATTCAACGAACAGATCTTTGATATTGAATACATTTATTACTCTCACGTATCGAAGAGCCAAGACGGGAGAGGTTCATACCAGAATGTTTAAGGTGTCAGCAGTAAAAAATGCAGAACGTTTCATCGAAATCAGAGCACTATTAGAAAAAAGATATCGCGATTTTTAAATATTTTTGGTTTATTATTATGAATATGATTTTTTAATAGTTTACGAAATTTCCTTAAAAAGAAAATAATAATCGGACATATAGGAGCAAAGATATGGTTTCTAGATGTTTTTTATGTTCTACTGCAAATGAAGTGATGCTATTTTTTTTTTTTTTATAACAAATTACTAATGATGAAAATAAAATGCTTAGGAAAATTATTGAAATTACCTTTTATTTCTTTTACTTTGTAGCTAGAAAAGTAATGTTACTTTTGATGTATAATTGTTGGGAAATAATAAACCATTGTGGAATATTTTGCAGCGTTTTAATTTTATAAAGAATGAACCACGGGGAGAATGACAAATCATAAAAATAATTAACATATTCATGAAAACAAGTATTTCTATAATATTCTTATTCACATACGTTATCGACTATATTCTCTGCGTATGCGGATGTTTTCTATATTATTCGGTTTTTTGAGTTGACGATATCGTCGGTTCATTGAATAAGTCACTAATTACATTTATGATAGAACCAAACATTTAACTACATATTTGTGAATTTCGATCATATTGACCGCTGCAAAAATATATTGAGTTCACGCACATTTTGATTTCACTGAGGGAAGATTCATCAAATCTCTTTGTAATTTAATTTTCATACATGTTTCTTAATAAATCTTAATAACAAAACGACGATATATTAACTACAAAGAGATTATTATTAAAATATATTATAATTAAAAAAAAAATGAAATAAGACTCAAATCGTCATGTATTACCAAATATATCCTCTTCGTCGCTTTCATCCTCAGGTCCCTTTCCCATCGTCTCGGTATTAGAATTCTTGGTTCCTTTTCCTAAGATTTTGGAAATAATAGAAATTATTGGAATATTTATAGGTTTTTCATGTTTAACTATTAATTGGTAATACCAGTTGCTAATTCAGCCATTGTGGACTTATTTGTCACTTGTGCTTCTGTATAGTTCCAATTCCAAGAAATCAAAATCAGTGTAAATAGATATTGCCAAAACATCTCAGATCTAGATTAATACAAATAATATGTGAAAGTATTATGTTTTATCATATTATGATCAATTGTGTAAATTGCATTTATAATGAAAAACTTATACTTGAATACGAGAATTCCAGTTCACAACAATAGGTTGACTGACAAGGGTTCCTAAAAAACTAAACTTCAGAAAGACAATACATGATTTTTATCGTGGTATTGTCAAAAGGTTATAAAATATTTACAGTCCATTATTTAATGATGCATAATTTTATTTTCATTATCGATTCCAAGTTTATCGACAGCTATAAGTTTTAATTTCTTTCAGTGAGATTTATTTCCCTTCAATGATTTTACAGTCTATTGTTATAAGTAGGTCTGGATTCAGATGGAAACAAATTAAATGTACCATATAATATGCCTCAAAGCGTACAATAATTTACTATGTAACCAAATGAAGAATAAAAATTTATTTGAATTAAAAAAAAAAATACAGGAATCGAAGAATCTTTCCACCGTAATGGAATATATTTCCATATCTACATAAACATCTTGGTAGATTGATATGGAAACTGACATCAAATAATATTAAAATTGCAGTCCGACATTGGTCCTCGCTTTTATATTAGGTGGATCTAAAAGTTCGTTCGGTTTTTGTTAGTTATGCGAAAAGAAATGTCATTGGCATTAGTTTTGTTTTTGCTAGAGCGTAGTGAATATGTAAAATGATAAAGTGCATTTTCGGCATATTTTGTTTTTTTATTTCAAAGATGGCAACTGAACTTCAAAGGTCTATCGAAAGATATGTAAGGTATACGGGAACGATGCCTTAACAGAATATACCACTCAAAAATGGTTTGCCAATTATCTTTCCGGAGATGCGGGTCTCGAAGATAAATCCTGCAGAGTATAAAACCCTGTAGAGTATAAAGGACTGATATAAAGGAACTAATCGAAGAAGACCGGTCGCTACAGGTATGAAAAATTGCGGAGCGGCTGGAAATGGATTTTGGTACCATTCTAAGCCATTTAAAATATTTTATTTATCTTATTTATTGAAAAACATTACAATCTGTCTTAAGGACATTTATAATAGTGTTCACAGATCACATTCACACTCTGTGTACAATAAATAAAATAAATTATACAGAAAAATAATATCTATAAAATAACCTAAAAATAAATTAATAAAAAGAACACATACATACCTCGTGGACATAGGAGATCGTGGACAACTAGCGAGCCAGCTAATGCCATCGCGAAGGAAGGTCTACATCCGAAAACTATTTTGCTCTCCACATGGTGGGATTATCACAGCCGCTTTTTTACGAGCTGCTTCAACAAGGAAAAGCGGTTGATTCGAAGATCTGCTGTATCCACACAACCTTACTTAATTGTAGTAATCATTTAATACATGTCTCATTTCGATGACTTGAGGCATCTATGATCGAGAGAGGAGAAGTTTATATTATTCATCGATGGTGTTTTTTATCGGCAAGCCATATCATCGTTAATTCTTCGCCAAATCTCAAGTTTGAGCCACCAATTTCGAAGGCTCCCTTCATTCTGGCAAAATAGTCCAATCACCCCGAAAATTCAGGAAAACAAGTTATGAAAGAAAAGAAACTTTATTTGCGAATAACTAAAAAATTACACACTTTTCCCTTTGCTACGTCCATGATTATATAAAAAATTACTAAATTCCTTGAAAAAGGAAAAAAAAATAATCGTCGAAATCGTTTAGAAATTTTTCCAATTTTTTTTTTTCATTTTAGAATTTTTCTCTTATTTTCAATTAATATTAATTAGGAAAGTTCTATTATGGCCCATTTTATTTGAAAATAACTATATATTTGGCATATAGCTATAGTATCAATACGAGGTTGAAACAATTTGTACTGACCGAAGGAGGAAATTTGGTTCAAATATTTTTGTAAGGGAAAATATAGTTGAGATTTGTATTTCCCACCTCTATGAAGCCTCAAATACGAATAACTAAACAATTACACACTGTTCCCTTGGTCATGTCCATGATTATATAAAAGATTACTAAATTCCCTTCAAAAGGAAAAAAAAAAAAATCACCAAAATCGATTATAAATGTTTCCAATATTTTTTTTTCATTTTATTATTTCATCTGAAAAAAACTATATATTTGGCAATTGGCACTTGGCTTCAAGCCTCAAATAAGAATTTCCATAAAAATTAATAAAAAGTTTTTTTTTTCACCAAATCGGAACATAAAAATGACTCCGTATGCTCATGAAAATTTGCCTTAAGTTAGGACTACATAACCAACACGAAACGACACAAACTAGAGCCCTATAGCACAGGCGGATTTACGGGGGCGGGCGGAGGGGGACATTTGGGCAAAAGCCCCCCCAAAATGGTAAAATGTAACAATGTTTTATGGTAAAAAATATTAAAAAATTATGTCAAAGTATTATTGCTCGTTTAATAGGACTTCAAGAATCACTTAATCACCATTTCATATAGGTATCAGTATCTTTCTGTTTTTCCAAAGTAATTATCGTTATATATATATATATATATATATATATATATATATATATATATATATATAAAAGGCTTATGGGCTTATGCCCCCCCCCCAAATTAAATCCTGGACCCGCTATTGCTATATAGAGATATAAAACAAAAACCTTCGATGAGTTTTTGTTTATCTAAAAAAATCATGGAAATCGGACAATTTTAAGCAAAGATAAACCTTATTGAATTTTGTAAACATGTTGGTTCCAAACATTAATGAAGTTTTGAATTAATTTTTGTTTCTTTGTGGATAGGGAGAGGGCTAGGGTAGTAAGCTTCCAATGCTAAAGGTTCGAACCCCGGCTCAGATGATAGAAAATTTATTTATCTGTTTCATTGGCCGTGAGTTATCTTGCTGGTTAGGGAGACCCTCTTGTGGCACACCCAGCCTCTATAAAATGGGAGAAAACCTGGCGGTTGAGCGTGATCTCGGTCAAATCACCTCCTCACACAACCGTTGACCTAGAAACAGTGCTGAACCCAAGAACCTTCATGGGTTGTAGTGGTACAGGTTTTTTTTTTTTTTTTCCTTTGTTGATTATATTTATCGATAAAGTAACAATTGATTTCTTTATCTTATTATACGTTGCATTATTCTGTTTTTTTATTAATTTGCCATTTGATTACTTAACAATATGCTGTGCGAATTTTTCGCATGGGCCTACTAGTATTTATTACTTAATTTATTAACCTATTGCACGCCTTCCTCTAATCCAGTAGACATGGTTTTTCTGTAATATTAGTCTCTTAATATGGTTCAGTTTAGACAGTTCCTAAAAAAATCTAAAATGAAAAATTCCTTTCCGTTTTTCTAACTTGTTCCACAATGTCAGGTTCTGGTTATACAAAGAACTTTTTTCTTAATAGTTTTATTAGAATATTCAATACAAGAAATAGTGTTGTTTTTAATAATATTGATAACAAATTATTATTATACTATAGTAAAACATTATAATTGTTTGTAAAATAATAGAAAATTCTTATGTAAGGATACAGAATAAAAAAATCTGGTGCGCGCAACACACAACTTTCACTTACTCTTTGAACTTTGGTCAACTTTGAATAGAAATTATTTTCTGGCCATGTTAGGCTATTATAAATTGTTTTAAATTGCAATTTAAACTGAGCTATAACTAACAAATCATGAACGCTATCAAAATAACAAAAGTCCTATTTATTATATCACCGGTTGATTATGGATTGTACGTTTCGTCGATTATGGATTGTTCGATCCATTGATAATGGATAGTACAAATATTAGTTATTACTGTTATTTTCCATTGCAAAGTTTATTAAAACAGAATTTAGAGTTTTGCATTGTCTGCCATAGACAGGTCGAAAGTTGTCACACTAATTGTAAGTGGATACTGTTGAAATATCACAAAAGGAAATTTCATCCAACTATTCACTAATTTAATTTTCTAAAAGGTTACATAATGGTTTTTTGGAATAAACGGACGATAGATACCTAATTATTTAAATATAATATCAGATCTAGAGTTATTTTACTAGAGTAAATATATTTAAGGTTATAAACGTATCTATGAAATATTTTTATATTACACTTCTTCTTTCAGACAAATACAATGAAATAGTAGTGGATACTGTTTGAATATCACAAAAGGGAGATTCGTCAAATTATTCACTAAATTAATTTTCTAAAAAGGTACATGACAATATTTCGGAATAAACGGACGTTGATACCTAATTATTAAAAGACAATATCAGATCTAGAATTATTAAATTACAATGAATGTATTTAAGGTTATAAACATATGTTTTAAACATCCATGAAATGGTTTTATATTTTACTTCTTCTTTCACACAAGTACAATGAAATATTTTTTTAAACAATGTCATTGCTTTGATTAGGTGAATTTTAAATACTTTCTTCAAACTTAAAAATATTTTAAAAGTTTACATTTAGTTAGTAAATTTTATTTAATTTTCTAGAAAACATGTTATTTACGTTAAATATTATTAGTTTTCAAAAATTATTATTTATAATTTATTCCCTCGCGTGGGCTCATTACCGCGTATGGGGAGCGCCCCACGAGTCGTGGATGTGGGGATGGTCGGTGGAAATTCCTTGGAAGCTCCTCCCGGCTAAGTCCGATGGACTCGCTGACCTACAATGAGAGGGGCCCTCCAGACTTGCTGAAGGGTGTGACGTAGGATTGAACGCCCTACTCACATATCTTTAGTTCACCAAATACCACAAATAGTCAGGGATCTCCCTAAGGTAAAACGCTCATTACCCGGAGGTAAACTAGTCCCCCGTTCTGGTCTCCGGGTGGGGACTGCTTTAGGGGATTCATGACGCAAGTTGAAATGTAGGGATTTAAATATTGGTACGTGGAACGTAAGGAGTTTAAACACAGCAGGGGGGCTAAAATCGGTCGCGAATGAGGTAAATGGGTACAATTTGGATGTCGTTGCTCTGCAAGAGGTTCGCTGGCCAGGGGAGGGCTCGATGAGGGAAGGAGAGTACACTATTTGGTACGGAGGAAGCGGGAATCATTGTTTAGGTACCGGGTTTCTAATTAGGAGTAGATTACTATCCGCTTTGAGGGACGTACAATTCGTTAGTGATAGAATTTCGGTAGCTATATTTCAGGGACGTTGGTTTAAAATCGTATTAATAAACATACATTGTCCGACCGAAGACAGT